TTTGAACATTTTTGCTTTAAAAAATGACTTAAATACAGATTGTATGAGTTTTGTTATGATTCGTGATTCTGTTTGGACGTTGAAATTATGATTTTTTGTTTAGCAACAGAATTTGAGTATTTTGTAAAGTTGATTCATGATTCTGCTTGGAATTTAAAAATTAACAGGCTAACGGGCTAGGCCAGACCATTTGTTTTTTTATAAACGGGTCAAACCAGGCTAACAGTTAGACTCGTACTAGGCTTAGGCCAGGCCAAATTGAAATTTTCTGACATAGGCTTGGGCTTTTCTGGGCAAAGCTTGGCCTGGCCCAGTCCACTTTCACCCCTAGTGATAAGAACAAAGTTTCTCTCATGTTAGTGAGAGCTCGAATTCTGTGTTAATATTTTTTATTTTATTTTTATTTATTTTTAAACTAATGAGCCCACTTGGTTGTATGTGTAGAAGAAAAGCTCCTATCATGTTGCATGAGAAAATGCAACCCCTAATTATAAAACTTGGATAGAAGCCTAATTATTTAATATTTTATGTCATTTTTAGAAATTAATTAGTGAATTAAATAATTAGAGAATAATAATTAGTGAATTAATAATTAATTTTTGTGAAATATGTTGTATATTATTTATAAAACCTTAGGATAGAATAGAAGCCTAATTAGTGAATTAATTAAGTGATGAATTATAATTACTGAATTAGTTTAATATTTTTGTAAATTAAAATTTGTATGTCATTTTTAAAACCTAATTAGTGAATTAAGTAATTAGAGAATAATAATTAGTGAATTAAAAATTAATTTTTTTTTATTATGCTGTACATTATTTATAAAACCTTAGAATAGGGTAAAAACCTAATTAGTGAATTAATTAAGTAGCGAATTATAATTAGTGAATTAGTTTAATATTTTTGTAAATTAAAATTTGTATGTCATTTTAAAACATAATTAATTAATTAGTGAATTAAGTAATTAGAGAATAATAATTAGTGAATTAATAATTAATTTTTGTGAATTATGTTGTATATTATTTATAAAACCTTAGGACGAGTTTGAATCATAAATTAATTAGTGAATTAATAATTAAGACACAACATTAGCAATTATATGTGGATATTAGTAATGTATCGTTTAACGTTAGTGCACATGAGTTTGAGCAGCTTACCTAGCTTCTTTAGATTATCCTTCAACTGCTTGCCCTTGAAACATGTATTAATATTGCTCCCCACATGACGAAGGCAAAACACATGGTATGCATCAGGAGGCTGGCAACCTAGGACCTCATTGCCGACTGCTGATATTATGTCTTTGTGTCGATAAAAAATAAGACATATGCTAGTCTTATTTGTAACATACAGTTGGATAGAAGCCAAAAAATACTCATATGCTTCCTTTGTTTCACTTTCAACAACAAATGCAATTGGCAACACCTCATTATTTCTATCTTGGGCTGTGGCGATCATTAATGTTCCTTTATACTTACCGTATAGATGCATACTGTCCACCTATATAACTGGTTTGCACCATTTGAACGCCTCACGACATTGACTGAAAGTCCAAAAAACACGTTGAAAAATCAGAAACCCATTAACAACCTGTCGATTGATGACATACGATTCATCTTGAATATGATAAACAGATCTTGGGTAAAATGCAACATGTACTCGAACCATCTTGGCAGGAACACATATGACTCATCCTAATCATCGTAAATCTTAGCAATTGTTTTTTGTTTTGCCTTTCAGGTCTTCTTGTAAAAAACATGAAATTCAAAGAAACCAGTCACCCTTTCTTGTATCAGGATCATAGCTACCAAAGGTAAAGCCTAGACCATGTCTGCAAAACCATTCACAACACATGCACATTAGGATTGTTATTTACGTTCACTGATAAATTCCAGATAATTATCAAAACGAACATATAGTATTGGACATAGTGCCTATTATAGCCTCAGAAATAAATTCAAAATCAAGCTGTCTGTGATCTTGGGAGAGGAATTTGCTCACATTACTATGATTTCAAACCCATTTACTAACCACCCAAGTGTTGCTATTCTTCGGTTTAATTGCTTTTACTCGCCTATTGCAACCTTGTTCATGGCTCCGACATTTCATAGACAACTTGGCCGTAATACTCTCAACCAATACAACTTCTTGATGTTCCTTCATGCAGTAATGTTTAATTGCACCTTGGACATCGTGCTTGGACCCGAACTCTTGTTTCACATACAATTTCTCTCCTCTTGTCCACGGACCCTGGCTTAAGCCTTCAACATCCAATATATCTTCATTAGGGTAATCTCAATTAACAGTCTCATAATGTTGAATCGCATTCTAAAATAATGTAACATCTGCATATTCACACATAATAGGGTAGATGCGAATAAATGCTAACTAATGAAAAAATTAAATTAAAATAATACAACTCACTAACTAACCCGATGATTATGGATCGAAACAACTGCGGGATTGGACATAGGGGTACTAGTCTCATGTGACACGGGATTACTATGATGTTCATCACCTGCATCGCTATCATTCTGATCATGGTCATTAGCCAACGAAGTGTCTTCATCTTCGTCTTGCTCCTCATTGTCAAGTTCAACATCTACCATATAGTCGTTTTCTTCTCCATGTGCAACGACTGATTGTGTGGGTTGGGGTACAGAAGATGATACATAATGTGATTGACTATTAAGGTCTAGTCAGTGAATCAGTATTTATAGATCCTCTGACGTCTCAATATCCACGTATAACTCAATAAATTAAGACGTAGAGTTATCGATGAAAGTTCAAAGGAAAACATCCACGTCCTCATCGTTAGATATCTCAAAACCCACATATTTGCGGTTTCCACCTGGAACTCTTCCCGTCACCGAAGATATTACTTGATTTTGTTGCAGCTTCAACTTTCGACTGATCTTCTCATTTAAAACTTTAATGGACATGCCTCAAACAATATACATTGTTCTTCTTTTCACTTCGAAGGTCAATTCGCCTGCATTTATAATTTTAGAACCATTGTAATATACAAATGAACAAATTTGATCTATTTTTTGCTTATGTTAAAATGCAAAATAAAAATAAAAATTAGAGGGTAGATTATGGCTCAAGATAGGGATGAGATAAACAAAAAAAAAAGACATAATCTGTGACAGTGAATGAAAATAATGAAAGGAAACACAACTTAAATATCAAATACAGTAATGACGAATGTGAGAATGAAACTCTGAGCAATTCATTTTCATAGCCGAGAAGGGGTATATATACAAGAGTTTAGGATTGGTTAGGTACGATGGACGGCTGAGATTTAATCAAATTTGTATTAAACATGGAAGGCGCCAAGGCATTATACGTGGCTACTCTTGTTTGGATCAGACTATTCTCTTACACTTTCAGTGTTTCTAGTGTCGGTTTTAGTGTTTTCAATGTCGACAAGCATAAAAAAGGAGTGAGTGGCGTTAGTGTGCTTTACGGAACTAGTGGCGTCAGTGTGCCTGACGGAACTAGACCCTTTGCTGACATGAAGGTTAGTCCCATAAGGATAATTGACGTTACTGATCCCGTACAGTCAACCTACGTGTTTGACTGCATTAGTTTGGTTAAACTTATCGAATGTGCTTTAACTAAGCATATCTTTTAACAAAGGTTATTAGATGGATGCTTTTGCTTTCATAATTGTGAGAGAAAGAAGCCAAGGTTGTCTCAACTCTCAGCATGTCAGAGAATGATGGCGTGCTTGCTAAAGAAGGGCAAAACCAAACGCAAGTCAGAATCACAAAAGGGATGTTTATATGTGCCTTCTCTATCACTCTTGCTTTCAATGTATGTATGGTTCTCCAATATTGCACCAGCTTTTTGGTTTTGGTGAGAATTATTCGCCTGACACAGAACACCTTTTTGTTTTCACCCCCCTTCCAATTTTGTTGCATGATGGAATATTATTTCCTTTTAGATCATGAAACCAGCGCATAAACCATGAAGCCACCGCCAGCTTAACACAGAATATAATCCATAGAATTTGTACTCTTTTTTCTTTTTTTTGTCGAAGGGGTTTGAGGACATAAGTTAAGTTCCCCGGTTAGAATCTTCCAAATAGATGAATTGATTTTAGCGTTTGTGGAGTTATGAGACACCAAATCAAAATGAGTGGGATTAAATTCACAATGCATTATAGTTACTTTTTTATTTTATTTGAATAATTTTAATTTCAATATTTTTGTTTTTATTTTACGTGAATTAATTTCTATGTGATATTTCATTTCATAAAATTATTGTTAATTCTATAACTCAAGCGTTCCAAGGTGAGGGATGCATGGATAAACTAAACGCCCTGTTCATAAAATTCCATTGATTTCAATCGGCCCAATCTCGAATGATACAGGTTTGGGCTAGTCCATTAAGACCAACAATTATTTTGGGACATGAAGTTGCATCCCGAATATTGCTAATGATAATGCTGATGTACTTCATGAAAATTACTCAGTACCCAAGATTTTATATCATATAAATTTGATAATAATAATTTAATTTGTGTTACATTCAACATTTCGATTAGAAGAGTATATTACTTCTAAAGTGTACAGAATGTGATATAATGTTGTGTTCTCTTTGATTCCATCACTAAAATTTTTAGTGGAACCAGAATGTACCACTTTTTAACCTCATGATCTGCTCTGTTTTATTTTTAAAATACACCAAACATATAATAGAACTAACGTTTTATCCCGCTCTAACATGTATGTCAAAGACTACCATGTTTAACTAAGTTTATTACATTGGGGTTGTATAACAATTTTTAATTTACAACCAACCAGAAAGCAGAGCCCTCCATCATGCCATATTTATTAGCACTGATAAATTTTAAACAAGCATCAAATTAGGTTTATGTTTAACATCTACGTTCTGCAATGACTATAGACAAATCTGTTCCTCACTGCAGAGACCAGAACCTTAACATCTGTCTTTCATCTGTATATGTGGTAGATTTTAACCTTCCAAGTCATTTTCTATAACTTCGATGCCATTTGTCGATCAAAACTCATGAGATCTTTTCTTAAAATCTTTCCTGTGGCTGACTTGGGAATCTTTTCTATAAAAGTCACTCGCCGCAACCTTTTGTATGGTGCAACCTGGACAAAGAAAAGAACCCAATCAACAGCCAAAGAAAATCTCCAACCTTCAAACTAATACGCTACAGTATTATACACACAAATAAAGCCATCTTTACTTGTTTCTGACAGAAAGACGACGACAGGATATATATTCTATTTCTGCAATTGAATATATCAGACTGTCGGAGTTTTTCAAAATATGAATTTTACATTCACTAATCAAGTGGGAAATGAAAAGTGATTACGCCATAGTAAGGATAATATTTCATTTATTAATAGCTTCTGATATTTAAACCTGGATGCTTCTTGTTGTCAATAATGATTAAACTGTGTCATTATTGAAAAGGGGTTATCGTTCCTTGACTTAATTATTGCTATGTCATTATTGAAAAGTAACTTGGTTCTTTGTTGTTTCATTTTTTTTAACGTTAATCACGTTTGCTCATAACATATAACACCTCTAATCAAGTATTTTTCTTGGAAATGATTCTCTGAATATACTTATCTTACCTGTTTTGCTACATATTTCTGAATGTCTTCTTCCGTTAAGGAGCAATTGGGTGAGCGAACGACATAAGCAACTGGAACCTCACCAGCTTTAGCATCGGGGGATCTGAATTTGGAATTGACACCCAGTCCTCATCAGTCATGTCTTTTTTAAAAAATGAGGTGATAGGCATAATATATCAAAATATGACTTACGGGATCACCCCAGCATCAGAAATTTCAGGGTGAGAAACTAGCAAGTCTTCAAGTTCTGCTGGCGCCACCTAACAAAGGTTACACATTTTAGATAAATTTCAGAGCACGTGCTTGTTTAATATGCCAAATATGCACTATATATAGTAAACGTACTTGTCCGGAAGTGATTCTCACGGTAGCATCTAGGAATATACTCAATGATGTTTCATATAAGTGACTGATTGGCAATCAAGAAATCTACAACATACGATTCTTTCCCCCAGAAACAACTAAATTTACGTTCCACTCGTGTCACATTATTACATTATTAGCATCTTCTATTTGATAGTAGATATATAAGTTGGCTGTTTCCTGATCATAATATTCTACAGAAATTTTTTCAACCGCGCAGCAGTAGGGCCAGGGGGGTTTGCATTTCATAAAAAATATGGACCCCTTGGCAGGATAAGGAAGACTGATCAAGGGAAAATTTTCTAAGCTGGGAGAGGCTTTAGCGGCTAGAGAAGCTCCTTTGTGGACAAAGAAGCATTTTTTATTTATTTATTTATTTTATTTGTAATAAGAAGCATTATTCAAGGAGTAAGGAAATTGTTGGGATTTTCAAGTGTAATGAGTCCCACTCTCACATTGATTAGTAATAGGCTAAGTGAAGTCTATATAAGTTGATAGACTCATGAACCCAATGCCCTTAAGATTTTTGGTTGAGACATGGTGTTGAATCCACTTGGTGTGATTCTCCTAGCTTAGCCTATTGGTGATGGTTCCCCGCCACGGGCTCCTTCTGGACCTACCTGACAATGGTATCAGAGCTTAGAACAGATAGATGTTAAAACTGCCTTTTTGCATGGTAATTTAAAGGAGCAAATTTTTATGGAGCAGCCTAATGGCTTCATATAGAAAGGCTCCAAAGACAAGGTTTTCCTTCTTAGGAAATCCTTGTACGGCCTGAAACAATCACCTAGGCCGTGGTATAAGAGATTTGATGACTTTGTGATATCACAAGGTTTCAATAGGTGCAGTTATGATCATTGTGTGTATTATTTAAATGCTGATGATGATAGCTATGTTTACTTGCTTATCTATGTTGATGGTATGCTCATTATTTCTCATAACAAGATAATATTAATAGGCTAAAGGAAATATTGAAAAGGGAATTTGGTATGAAAATCTTATGCTCTATTAGAAAAATTTTAGGCATGGATATTTTTAGAGATAGAGATGCAAGAGTGTTGCCTTTGTCTCAATCACATTATGTGAATTTTTTTTTTTTAAAATGTTTGCTATGCATTTATCCAAGACTATGAACACTCCTTTAGCTGCCTATTTTCGGTTGAAACCTATATGTGGTGAATTAGATGAAACTGAATCTGTCTACATGCAAAAAGTGCCATATTCAAATTCTATAGGAAGCCTAATGTATGCTATGACAGGTAATAGGCCTGATATTGCTCAAGGAGTGAGTGTGGTGAGCAGATTTATGTCTAAACCAAATAGAGAACATTGGAATACAGTAAAATGAATCTTTAGATATTTAAATGGATCATGTGATAACTGTTTAAATTTTATTGCTGATGATTCTAATAAGTTTGGTGTTAGAGGATATTATGATGCAGACTATGCAGCTGTTCTAGATCAGAGAAGATCAATGACTGGCTATATCTTCACGGTTGGAGGGAATGTGGTTAGCTGGAAACAAATCTCCAGCATGTGGTGGCCCTCTCAACAACTGAATCAGAGTATATTGCACTAACTAAGGCTATCAAAGAAGCCTTATGGCTTAAAGGTATTGTATCTGAATTGGGACTTGGTAAGGATGTTCCCAAGGTTTTTTGTGACTCACAAAGTGCTATACACTTGTCCAAGATTAGTGCCTTTCATAAAAGGATCAAACACATAGATGTTAGGTTGCACTTTATTAGAGACATTATCTCTAATGAGTAAGTTGAGGTGGAGAAGGTCTCCACTTCCTGGAATCTTGCTGCAATTTTCACTAAGTCCGTTCTCGTAAACAAGTTTAAGGATGCCTTAAGCTTGTTGAAGGTTCTGGGTCAATCTCGTTGAGATGTAGGGTCAGGGAGTCTATCTCCAATTATCGGTACTTGCGTGCTACCTTATGAAAATAAGGTGGAGTATGTTATAATTGTATTTTCCATAAGTAGCCTTGTTAGTTTGTTTTACTTTGCATTGTTAAAAGGATATTATGGTCACATCCAAGGGCGGAGGGAGGGGGTGCTAGGGTGGGCGGCCGCCCCCCTCCCTAAAATTTGAAGAATTTTTTTTTTACGCTAGACTGCACTTCTTCCTTCTCATCTAGCAGTGGTCTCTATTTTTACGTCATCATTTGTTAAAGAACTTGTTTTCTCATCTGCATCACATTCCCTTCTTCAGTTGGTTTATAAGTTATAGTTTCATCATGCTTCTCAAATTCAGATTTTGTTGTATCTTCATCAAGCAATCCCATTAGCAGTTCCGCACTACATTCCCCATCTTCAGCTTGTATTTCCCTTTTAGAAATACAAACCTCTCTTTTGATGGTGACTCAATAGTTTTCAATGAGCTTCACGTTTCCTACACCAGTTTCCCCTCTAGGTATTCCTCAACAGCTTTTGTTCTTCGCTATTCTCCCTTCTCTTCCATCTGGGTCACTCTGGTTAGAGCTCAAAATCATGAAAATCAATTCATTTTTCAAAAGGGTTGTCCTGGGTTGCTCTGTTTTATTTTGTTATTTTGTTTTCTAAAATTGGTAATTTTTTATCTTGTTTTTTCATTTTTTTTTGTTTTACTCATGGTTCATTTTCTTGCAATAGTCCCTTTTGAATATATTTGAAATAGTCTAGATTGAGAAAGCTATTATCTTGTTCAAATTTGAGATTGAAACTAGTTGTGGAGTTGAAGTATCGCGCCTCTGTGAAAATTTGATGGAGATTAGTGAGATTCTACTTATGGTTTTTGCTTCCATTTCATTTTTATGTTATGTTGTTGTAGTTAAACGTGCCTAAAATTTATTGGAGATCAGTTCTTTTGTTTTCTAAAAATTAGTTCTTTTGTGCGTGTACATTTTCGCCCCCCATCCATGAATTCCTGGCTCCGCCACTGGTAACATCACAATTTTATTGAAACCCTGCATTTGGTGAGCTTGTGATATACTAACACTGTAGATTGGTTTTCATACTTGTAACACTCCTTTTCGTTTTGCAATATTTTCTCACTTGGCTCTCGATAGTTCCCAAAATCGCTTTGATAGGGTTTATGCTTGAAACCCAAAATCTGATGTACTAATTTGGTTTGCATTGAGTTTCTTCTTGGTTCTTGTTTCCTGTTTTGTGCGCAGGTTGATCACTAGAGCTTGGTGGTGATTGGAGATCAAGGTGCTTCTTGGTGGTGCTTTCTTGGAGACATCAAGAAGGTGGTTTGAAGACTTTGGCAGTGGAAGGAGCTTTTGGGTACCACTACTGGTTGTGTGTATATGATTGTTTCTCTCCACTGTGTAATAGAGTATTTCTCATAAAGTTTTCTGGTTTGGGTTTCTGTTTTGGTTTCTATAATATTGGGGCCTTAGGGATTATTTGGGCTTTGGGTGTTTTTGCCTAAACTGAATATTGCGTATTCATTTTCTTTCTATTTTTACATAGTGCAAGCACCAGAGAGTGGACTCCCAAGTGACCCTGTGGATGTAGGTAACTTGGTTTTAAACCCAATTTATGAACGACTCAAATATTGCGTGTGATTTTCTCTCTTTTATCTCCTTTTACTGTTAAAGAAATCTAGATTCTCCATATGTAATTTCAACAATTGGTATCTAGAGCTTAGGTTTCATGCCTTCTTTTCTTGTATATGTGCTCTCTGTAATTGCTGATAAATGTTGTTTGCTCTCTTTTTTGCAATCTTTTATTGCATGCTTCGATTTTTCTCTGCAATTACTACTTTTTTTGTCAAGAATATTATTTGTTATATCTTCCGCGCTTCCTCTCCCCCTCTTTCTTGTATTGCGTCTGTTTTCCTTGTTGTCTTGGTCGCTGGAACTCATCAAGATGGGCACTACACGCGTGGAGGTAGAGAAATATGTTGGCAAAGGAGATTTCAATATGTGGAGGAAGAAAATGAATGCTGTATTGGTTCACCAGAAGTGTTCCAAGGCCTTTGGTGGTGCTAGGGATATGCCTGCCACCACGAGTGCTGAGGAGAAGGAGGAAATGCTGGAAACTGCTTTCAGTTTGTTGATTTTGCACTTGACTGACAATGTCTTTAGACAAGTGGATGATGAAACCACTGCTGTCGGGGTTTGGTTAAAGCTGGAATCCCTTTTCATGACTAAATCCTTATCAATTAATTTTTTTTTTAAGATTTTGGGTTGATACATGGTGTCGGACTCACTTGCTACGGTTGGTGTAGCCTTAGCCCATTTATGATAGTACCCAACCATGGGCTCCCCCTAGACCCGCCTGACAGTGGTATCAGAGCCAGGTTGGGCTCGGGTTAGCCAAGTGTTTGGCTAGAAAGCGGGTTGAGTACTTAGGCCCTCGGTACTCGATTGATGAGGAGCATATCAATGTTGGGATTTCACACTTTAGGGGGAGATTGTTGGGATTTTTAAGTGTGATGAGTCCCACATTAGTTGGTAATTGGCCAAATGAAGTCTATATAAGTGGATAGACCTACGAACTCAATTCCTTAAGGTTTTGGGTTGAGACATGGTGTCGAATCCACTTGGTGTGGTTCGCCTAGTATAGCCTATTGATAGTGGTTCCCCGCCATGGACTCCTTCTGGACTCGCTTGACAAAACTCATTGGTGTTAATGTTATACAAAACCTTGATATCTCCATTTTATCCAAACAAGTTTTCATGGCCAGTTAATGTTATAGGACATTTGGATTCTAGCAGATGTATCTCTTACAGGTTTCATTTCGTTATATCCCAAGGGCAGTTGATTGTATAGCTCACTTGGTACCTAGAGATCACACCTTACGAACATCTTCAACTCCAATGAGTTAAAAGCTAATGGCAGGTGTTAGCATTCAATCTTCAAGATCATTCAGCAGGAGTATGTTAGCTAATTTTGAATAAGCACTTATTAAAAGACATGTGACGTGATCTGGATGGTTATGCACAGAGAACCGAACTACATATACATTATGCCCACGAATACTAACGTAAGAGAATTGATATGTAGGTATGGTATAGTAATATCACACTACTATCTCATTTGGAAAAGTGGTGATGTGGTTATGTTATTTGATCACAACCACTCATTGATGATGAGATAAGAGAGAAAAAAGTGTATAATTTTTAAATGAGTAGTTGTGATCAAATAATATGATCACATGACCACTTTTCCACATGAGAGGATCCACTCCCTAGACTCACATAGGTAGTTCTTGGCTCTGTATCCTGCTGTCTCAAGTACGGAAGTACCAATCTACTGCAGATACTTATATAAACTGCTTAATTACATAAATTCGCTAGGCCTAGTCTAGAAAAGCCTTTTTAGACTGACCCAAGGAGGGAACTATTGCGCAAAACTAAAAAACCTCTTATGGCAAAAAAACAAAAAACAAAAAAGGAAAAAGAAAAGAAAGAGAGAGGATATATCAACACTGTAACTTGCTAGAAATCATAAAAGAAAAAGCTTTTTCTTACCAGAAAGGACTACTCACTAAGTTGACAATGAACATATCATATCATACCTGATACCCGCTACACTTGATAAGCTCTTTTATTCGATCTACAACATATAGCTGTCCCTCTTCATCAAAATATCCAAGATCTCCTGTACGCACCCAACCTTGATCATCAATGGTCAGTTTTGTCGCTTCTGGATTGTTAAAGTAACCTGAAAAGATAAATCATATACAATTCTTATCATGATCAATTCAAATTCAATGAAATCTGGAAAAGTAATAGATATGAAACTCTAATCAATTCAGTGATCTAGTAATATAATAAGCTGTTTGAAAAATTGATAATGTAATTAGCTGTTAAAATTTTTCCGTCACACCCCCAGGCAACCTTTCTTATGGCTTTGCAATGCTAGTCTCTAGGAGTAGGGGCAAGCAATGATAACATATTAACTCCAAGCAATACAAGCTACTAGCAGCTTGAGTAGTATATGCTCCACAGCCTTCATCTGGGTAGTGTAGATATACTTTCCATATCTAGTATAATCCAACATTGATGCTCAAATATATTAATACCTAACCAAACTTCACCGGTGATTAGTTCAAACCACTCTCCTTTAGACCCTGGCTAGCAATGAGTAGTGTAGATATACTTTCCATATCTAGTGTAATCCAACATTGATGCCCAAATATAATAATACCTACCCAAATTTCACCGGTGATTAGTTCAAACCACTTTCCATTAAACTTTGATTAGTGAGTGTAGAGGGAAGAACAATCTTTATATGCAGCCTTACCCTTAAATATTTGTAAAGAGGTTGTTTCCCGGAATCGAACCCATGATTTTTATCCTCTTGATAGAAAAATATTCTCATTGATTTCTATCATTGATTCAACATACACCTTATATAAATCTCTAAGCCTATAACAAATAAGTTTGAGAAATATAAAGCTTACATCCTTTGAGAAAGTTCTGCAAAATAAAATCAATTAAAGACAAATAACTCAATTCTACCTTGCATCATAGTAGGTCCTCGTAGCCAAATTTCCCCTAATTGATTCGGTGGAAGGGGCTTCAATGTTTCTAAATTAACTATTCGGGATTCTACACATGGATTCAATGTTCCCGTTGAACCTGAAAGGCGGCAACCTTCCTTTGGATCTTCTAAGGAAATAATTCCACATGCTTCAGTCATGCCATACCCCTGTCAGAATTATCATACATGAAGCAATTGGTGTAGCAGCGAGGAGAAAAATGCCAGAATTATCATACAAGATTCCCTGTTAACACTAATTATTGCATACTTAAAGAGACATTATGAGCATTAGTGGCATGAATCCGGACTGAAAAACAACTCAGAAGCATCATTATAAGTCACTAGTAAGGATTATTCTAATCAATGTCTTTAATGGTTGGAGTGCCAAATTGACAGATTCCCATTATGGTTGGAATAGTAACTGTTCGGAATTTAAAGGGTAAACTTCCACATTAATTAAGAATGGACTAAGTAAAGATTGAAAAGAGTGAAAAGACGCATAAACTCATATCGTTGACATTTTGGGTTAAGATATAATGTCAACCATAGTTATTATTTCTATATTGATCTCATAAAGGATGAGAGATTCGAAATTTCACAACAACGCTCTGGTCGACAAATCAAGTCTAACACTATTTACTAATATTAACATGTGTTTTATTAAAAATCATATTAACAATTGTATAAGTTAGTCTATTTATGAGTTATTAAAAAGGGTTTTATGTTTATCATGTAACATAACACAACTTCACTTTCCTATACACACATTAAAGAGGTGGGGTCCACATGTTTTTCTTTCTCTTTCATCATTCCACTTTTTCTCTCCCTTTTATTGTGTGTGTTGGAAACAAAACTTAAGTTATGTAACATAATATTAATAAAATCCTATTAAAAATCTTACAAGTTGATAGATGAAATTCATAAACAAAAACTCACAAATATAGCTAATGGTCAACAAACCAAGTCTCACACTTTTAAGTAATATTAACATAAGTTTTAGCGATTAATATTTCCCATGTTATAGGAGATAATTTTATCTTCTACACACAAAAAAGTATGTGGAGCCCATGTGAAGCCATGTGAAAAAAAGAGAGAAAAAAAATATAGATCTCACACACTTTTATGTGTGTAAAAGATAAAATTATCTCCTAGAACATAATAAATATTAAACCCTAAGTTTTATAAAAAATCATATTAATATGATAGTAGTCCATATAGGATTAAAATTCTAACACCAAAATTAGACTCTTTACATTGATACATGAAATTACTAATCAATAAATTTTATGTAAATAGCTACATCCGATACATCAGTGGTGTATGGAAGTACCTGCATGATTTCAACACAGGGTAGAATCTTAGCACACTCCTGCATCAAATCTCTCCCTAAAGGAGCAGCACCACCCGCAATCTGCTTCAGCGACGACAAGTCATACCTGTTCACCACATCACGCTGCTTCACCAGCTCCACCATCACCGGCGGAGCAACGTACAAATGCGTCACCCGGAACTTCTCCACCGCCGCCAGAGCCTTCTCCAGTTCAAACCTCCCCATCGAAACCACCGCGCTCCCCCTCCGCAGCTGCGAGTACGTTATGATCGAGAGCCCGAACACGTGGAACATCGGCAGGAAGCACAGGAACACGCTGTTCCTCTCGCCGTCCCGGTCCTGATCAGCCGTCACCGCCAGCGACGCCGCGATGAAGTTCCGATGAGTCAGCACCACTCCCTTGCTCCTCCCCGTGGTGCCGGAAGAGTAGAGAAGCGCCGCCACGTCGGACTGCAAAACGTCGCCGTTAGCCGAAACCGAAACCTTCTCGGCCTCTCCGATCAAATCCGCGTAGTACCAAACCCTAGAACCGAACGCATTCGATGAATTTACATGAGTAGAAGCACCATCGAGCAATATTAACGGTAAATTCAAGTTTAATCCTTCGATTTTGTCCAAGAGTTCTGATACGGTGATGACGAGCTTAGGTTTGGAATCGTGGACTTGTTTGGAGAGTTCTGAGACTGTATATAAGGGGTTGCAAGTAGTGGCGATGGCACCAATGGCAACGACAGCGAGGAAGCACACAGGGAAGCGTATAGAGTTCGGAGCGAATAGCAAAACGACGTCGCATAGTTTGATTCCGAGGCGTCGTATCAAGATGCGAGAGAGGGCGGAGACTTGCGTTTTGAGGTCACGGAAGGTGAGGGATTCGCCGGAATGTGCGTCGGCGAGAGCGAGGGATGCGGCGGAGGAGGCTGTGCTTTGGAAGAGGAACGAGGTTAGGGAGAGGTTTGGATCGGTGGGAAGGTGGATGTGTGGCCTCGGTGAGGAATACGTCATCGTTTTGAGGTCGAAGGATCTCGCCATTGTTAACGGAAATGTGAAGAGTGAGTTTCTTCTCTTGAAGGTTTTTAACTGATTTTCATATCGTATTTGTCGTTACCGCCAAAAAGCATTGTTGAGTGATGTTGACTATATTACAATGTGTATATTTTGTATGAAAAATTTTCAGGCGTTACGATGGCATACAAATAAATAGTACAAAGAAGAAGAAAAATATTACTCTAATTTAACAATTATGTCTAAGTCAATGCATTTAGATCATTAAAAATGCGCCAGAGATGTGTCCGTGCTGAAGTTCGATGAAATAAATATTCAGGGAATGAGTTTTCATGTTTTTCGGTTTGTTGTTTGTTTTTAGGCAAAAATATTTATTTAAAAAATCATATGTCATTTTAATTTAGGGATAGGATATTGTGACACCTAAGTTATGTTACACCCATGTGACACCCAGTCAATTTCACCGTTAGATCGCTTATGTTGATCCAATGGTTATATTTATTTCCATCTTTGTATGGTCATGATTTTCCAAATTTAATATTTTATATTTATTTCTACCTTTGAATGGTTATGATTTCTTATATTTAATGCTTTCACTTTAAATTTGGGAAATCATGACCATACAAAGATGGAAATAAATATAACCGTTGGATCAACATAAGTGATCTAACGGTGAGATTGACTGGGTGTCACATGGGTATAACATAACTTGGATGTCATAATATCCTATCCCATTTAATTTATGACATATGGTTATATCCTTTAAAAGGATAGATGTTTTTCTCTTGTTTTTATTGATGTATATTTGTGTTTCACGAAAATGTTGGTTTGAAATATTATAACAATAAAAAATTATTGAATTGCAAGTTTCTTCGCTTAAAATTTAGCAATGCATCCAAATTCATATATTTTTGCCTTATCTCAGAAGTTACATTTTCTATTCCTTCTCGTTTAAGCATAAGAAAAAATTATAAATAATTAATAAACTTGTTTATTATTATTATTATTATTATTATTATTATTATTATTATTATTATTCATTCACTTATATATCTAAATAATTCGTAAAAAATATGTTTAGAGTTATAACATTTTTCAGTTACTCGTTTATATATTTAGACTAATTAATGTGCATACAAGTATATTTGACGCATGCCATGATGAAATGTAAAGTTACCTTCAGTAGCTAAAGTCAGCAAAAACAAGAAGTCACTCTTCACCTTAAGAAAATTGCAAATGGAGTTGCACATAGGTGAATTGAACGTGACAGAAAACATTTTCTTTAGTTTTCGTCATTCCAAACTCAGAAAAATATATAGTGTCTTTTAAGTGTTTTCTAAAAGTGTGATGTATTCTCCTAATTCAAAAGAGAGTGATATTATTTTTTCCTTGTATTTAAAGAGTTGTAATAATTTCTTCTATGTTAAAATCTTCTATACTCTTGCTTGTGGTTTTTTCCGGTTGAGTTTTTCACTTAAATTTTTGTGTGTCACTTCAATTGGTATATTTGTAAGTGTTGACTTCTTGACGAGTGGAATTAAAATAAAATTAATTCATTTTATTGGTTTCTTGGAAAAGTTTCAAATTTAATGGTTATTTAATTACTCACCATCAGATAACACATAGAGACTCCAACATTGATGTTATTAATAATGTCTTGAGATTCCTATTTTTCTGAGTTCTATTTTAGTTGTATAATACTCTCTTATCTAACAATATTCACATATTCACATATCAACGTATGACCAAGAAAGTTTGAGACTATGTCCCAAATAATTTATTGAGGAGTATAAGAAGTAAATTTAATACTAATTATATCCTATTCTACTAGCTCCATGTCTGCTCGGTGGGTCCACCAACATTCGGCACGTGGAGCACATGGCTTCCCTGCACACATATCTTCTCACATTCCCCACATATGCATGACCCTTTACATGTCATGGGTCACACAACCTCACACCTAGTGGGACCCACGGGGTTGAAAATAGTTATGGGATCAGGCCTTGTGGACTAAGAGGGAATCTCTAACCTCCTATATAAATAGACCTCAGCTCCTTCACAGTTTATCTTCTCCATTTGTCCTCCATAGTTGTTATTCTGTTGAATTCTCGCTATAGCCATAATCGTAGCCTACACACACCACCCTCATTAGCACCTTCAATATACTTGAGGCTAATCGGAGATATTTCAAAGCTTTGGTCCATACCATTACCTCTTTCATCTCCTTCAAATCAACATACTTCACCCATTCGGGAAACAGATCCATACTTCATATTTTGATTCAGTTCTGCATGGATTCCCATAAAATAATGAGGGAGAAAGGGAGGGGATGTCAATGAAGCTTACAAGCATTGTTTATTATTTTTTAGCCATGTGATCAGCAAAATGTTCAGCTATGATAGCGGGTCAATGGCGACAGAGAATCTTCTTTACGAGAAAGTTTTTTGTAGTCTTATGGAAATAACGTGAGATGCGTAAAAAGGCTAGAGACGTTCAAGAATCTTTTTAAAAATCTAACACAAATCGAGTTGACATGTGTCCAACATGCAGAAAATGAGTTGACTGGTCTGAATTCATTAACTCGCTGCCTTTGCAAGCGAGTTTCTTTGATGCTGCCACGTATCCGTGACACATATGAGAGTTTTGACTGGTTTGGCCACCAACTCACTATCAATGGCAACGAGTTTAGTGGCCTGAGGAATTGTGCCACGTGGCATTTCAAATCCACTTCTACTGACAGCGGGTTTGTAGCCGTGCATTTTGGCAAAAAAAAAAATTTGCCCACATGGCAATCCAGTAAAATTTTGTGAAAATCGTGTCAGTATGATCAATACCCCCACGTTTAACTAAAGAAGAAAGTATATGTAGATTGCATATCTATTTTCAAATTTATGTAAAATATGAATTAGAAGAAAAATATATTTATAAAAACAATTAAAATTATAAAAAACATGTATTTAATTCAAATAAAATCTTAAAAGTATAAATTAAAAATATTTAAAATCTTATATATATATATATATATATATATATATATATATATATATAGTCAAGATCATTTTACACCAGTGTAAGTTACACTCTCAATTTTGTCCGTTGAACCCACTTATATCTAAGGGCTCTACTTTTTTAGTAATGTGAGTCATTGGATACAAGTGGATCAATGGTCAAGATTGGGTATAAGACTTCTAACTCTTACACCGTTGTAAGAATATCCTGCCCCATATATATATATATATATATATATATATATATTAAAAAATTAAAAATTATAAAAAAGATATATGTTCTTCTTTAAAAGAAAATACAATGGAATATTTAAACATTTTATTTATTTTATAATTTAGCATATAAGAAAAATTAGTATCCCTATATTGGGTATTGTTTGCTTGTATATGCGTGTTTCATGTTGTGGCCCATAAGGTTTAATGGTAATCCACAATTTGTTTTTTTAAACTATATGCTCATTTACCTATTTTATATATAGGAAACAATTATTCTACCTATTCTTATTTTATCTACCCCTCACGACATCGTTAGATTATAATTTCATCTAACGGTGGAGATTTGCGAGATAAAGTAAACCCTTTTATCCCTCTCTTCCCCCTCACTGCCTCTCATTCTTTCTCTCTCCTCCCATCCTTTCTCTTTATTGATACATAGGATCGAAATCCCTTGTGAGTTTGAATTGATTTTTTATTCACTCTATTTGTCATGACTCTTATAAAATAGTTTTGTTTATCGTGGTTGATGCCTAAGATGCCAATAGTATGACAGCGATTCAAATACCAAATCCCTAACTTTATCTCTCTTCAATGACGCTTCAGCAACCAAAATTGTATGAATGTTAGTACGCTTAAGCATTAGTATGACTTAGAAAGGGCCAAATAAATTTTTGTTGGAAACAATTCTTGCATTTTTCTGATAAACAAAGGTTTATTTCAGAAGTTCTAGTAACAAACATAAAACCTTGTTGTGAGTTTTAATTCACCCTCTGTCTTCGTTGATAGAGAAAAAGGGTGGGAGGAGAGCAAAAAGTGAGAGGCAATGAGGGGAAAGAAATGAGTAAAAGAATTAATTTACTTCGCAAATCTCTACCGTTAAATAAGATTATAATCTAACAGTATTTAGAGGTATACAAAATAAGAGTGGGTACTACATATATTATAAACCCGTTGCAGAGTGAATGACTTTCTATCATTCCTTTTTAGTAAATTTTTTTTTTTCTTAAAAAGATTAAAATAATTTTACATTTAAATGAAATACTTGAAAAATATTTTTAATTAAAAAATAATTTGAATATTAAAATTAAAAATTGTATTAATAATAATAATAAGGGAAATGTTATATTTATAACCTATTTTCGTTTACAACCTCTTACAATCATATCTTAATCGTTGATTTTTGTCAATCAACGGTTATCATTTATTGTGAATTAATAATTAATTAATAAATTTGATTTGTGAAAATCTTAACCGTTGATTGACAGAAATCAACGGTTAAGATATGATTGTAAGAGGTTGTAAATGAAAATAGGTTGTAAGTATAACCTTTTCCTAATAATAATAATAATTATTATTATTATTATTATTATTGTTATTATTATTATTATTCATTGTGAATATTAAAAGTTAAATAAGTTTTATAGCGTTTAAGGTTGATCTAAACTTAATTCCTTTTGAACTTTATCTTCCTCTTTATATATGTTCTATTAACGGTTATTATTAATGGGAATAAGGTAGTTACTAACTTGATAGTTATAATGATCATAATCTTATTATTATATAGTAGGAAAGTATCGTGGATTGGGGCCATACTCTGAACTTCAATTTTGTGTTATGAGAAGGGCTCACAATTTGGGTTTTATCTATAGGTTCTGAGTAAACGGGTTCATAATCTACGAATTTATTTTATTCGGATAATAATATATGGGTTTCACAAATTATATCTAACTAGACCCCGAATTATAAATTCGGAACATTATTATTATTATAAAAGCAAGATTTGGTGGTGGTGAAAACAATGAT